TGAGTGATTTAAACATTTGTACCATGTAGGGCAGTCATACTTACCATGTCTGTAATTTGTAAAGTCCAGGTGCCTACAGGATTCTCTCCCCATGTATGAACAGACATGAAATCCCAATTCTTAAAGCCATTAGGAGATGTATCCCGCTCTCTTTCCGCCAACAGTACAGTGCTGGTTCCTGTTTTCATGCAACAAACAGAAGTTAGTGAATGACCTGACAGCTCCCATAGAAGAATACACTCCAGCATCTGATAACTGAAAATAAAAGCTGAGAGAGATTAGTCTTCCCAATTTCCCCTCAGTATAAAACCAGGATCATGATATTCACAAAAAAAACTTGATGTTTTTATCCATAGTGCCTAGCACATTACCTAGCATATAATAAACTTTTACTAAATACTATGGAATAAGTAAATAATTGATATGTTGATAAAGGCAACACATAAAACCATGTTTACAAACTGGACTAAAGAAAAGAATCAAGGATTTATAATAAATTTTAGTGAACCTAATGTTTTGAAGTTTAAAAGAAAATATTTAAAACATTGTTGTTGTTGTTGTTATGTGCCGTGGAGTCGGATTAGTGGATGCCAAATTCAATAATCTAGTGTAGACATTAAAATGGAAGATATATTTATCTAATCTCAGGTCATATAAAAAAATAGTGGTAGAAGTAACTCTAAATTCTCAAGCCCAAGCCCTCTGTAAATAAACAAATATTTCCTTTTATATGAAGGTCAGATTATTAGGACCATCAATTAAAAAACAATCCCACCATGATGCATGGAGGGGTTTGTAACCATGGCAATGAAACGATATACGATAGGATGAATGTAAAACTAATGTTCTCCCATGTAAATTATCACATAATTCACAATAAATATTTTTAAAAAACACAAAAAAAAAAACAACCCCATCAATATTTGAGGCCAATTCTAAGACATCTCAGAAGCCTGGTTTCAAAGTTACTAGAGTCTCTTTCAAATAGTAGGAATCTCTGAATTGTGCAACTCCTTAACATGATTGGCTGCTAACTAAAATATTGGGAGTTCAAGTCTGCCCATGGATACCCTGTAAGAAAGACCTGACCTTTTAGTTCTGAGAAATCACTTATTGGAAACTTTATGGAGCAAATTTCTACTCTGACACACATGGGATCACCACGAATCAGTATAGACTCAATGGCGGGTATTACTTCAAATGTTTAGGAAGTTCATACCCTGGAAGAACAAATCTATATAGATCTCTCAATAGATCCATGGGTTCAGATGTTG